GCCACCCTGATGGCAAAAACGCAGGCTTGTGAAAAGGAAAAGTCTGGTTAGGATGGCCTGGCTCTTTGTTCTTGGGGTGGAGTAGCTTTTCAAGCTCTCTGTTACAGAGTTCAGGGTGCCACGAGACTGTTCAAGGACAGTGTGAGGTAGGTCCCAAAGCATGCCAACCCAACAGTCCCAGGGCAGCCAATCACAAAACAGACAGACCCTAGCACCGCTGGCCTCGTGGTCTTTCAGACCTCAGCTCTGATCAGTGTGGATCTTTTGAAACCCTCTGGTTACTGATCCTACGACTTGCCAATGTGCCCTCACCTTTGGCTTCTGTTCTGTATCGTCTTTCCCAGAAACTCCTATCTCCAAAGCCTCCCCAACTAAAGCGGTTTATTCATCTGGCACTTTCCTATTTTTTAAGAATTCATTTCCCCACCCTCCCTCCTCTGGTTTTACCTTTTGCTCTAGGTTCTCATCCTCACCCCAAGTGTTCTGGATCTGTGTAGACTTCTGCTTCTTCCGACGTTTTTTGCCTGTGGGCACTGGGGTTCTGTTTTATTTTTTTGAAAATTCTCTTTTTCTCATCTGCCTTTCTTTTCACATTTGCCCTGTTTCCATCCGTTTCCCCTCCCCCCTCCTTAAAAACTAGAGAATTTAGACACATTCTAAGTCTAACTAGAAAACGTGTAAGACTAACAACTAGAGAAGTTAGGTTAAAAATTGCTGAGTGGGGAGGATCTAGCATGTAAGGGATATCCTGATTTTCCTGAGCAGTCTCCATGAACTGGTGACTGCCTGGGGGGTGGGATGGAGATCTAGGGGTGCTGAGATGTTGACAACAAAGCAGAGTTGCTAGAGACATCGTGAGACATCATGAGCACTGTATCAAGGTGGCAAATATGTTTTTCTATTCCCTTCATACTGCAAATTACTTTGGTTTGAATATTTCCCTGGAGAAATTAAGGGATGATTCTGGGACTTGATTAGCATATGTTGCCCAGTGCTCTAGGCAGGGCACTAATGGATAAGAATGAGGGTCCTTGACAAATTCCCTGGACAGCAGGCAGTGTGAGCTGGTGGGAGGGATAAACCCTACATGTGGTCCCCTGAGAGGGGAATGGGGCTCGCCAGGAGCCACAGGTGCCTGCTGATGCTCTAACCAAGGGCTGGCTAGAAGCATAACATATGCTGACTTCTTTCTCTAACACAGCTTTAGAGCCATGGTCTCCAGCATGTCAGAGGAACCGCTGGATATGGGGAGATGTTCAAATTTCTATTTATGTTTTATCTTATCTTTTGAAGATTTCTGTTTTTGTATATGTTTTATGTTAGTAAATACTACATGCATATATTATGTAATAGTCACTGTATATCTGTTAGAAATATACATGCCTAATCACTTTTTAATAACAAAGTATGTGATCAAAAGTTTTGGCGACCGCTGCTCTGGAGAATCTTCTTAGAAAGAAGACTCTGGGGGTGGTCTGAGATGCTGGCCCAGAGCAGTCCAGCCAAGAAGAAAGGCCCAGCCTATGTGGACGGACATGGTGGCGAGGTGGAAATTAATTGTCCCTGAGAGGGAACTCTCCAGGAACAATGTGAGTCATTGCCTCTGGGGTCACCTCAGGGATCCCTGCTACTTCTTTTCTAGGGTCTTTCATTATACTCTTTACTAAGGAGAGGGGATCATAGTTTTTCAAAGTGAAGTTTGGAGAGGGAAGAGCCTGGGATGTTTTTCAGCATGGAGGGAGCTGGAACTAATGAGACCTTGCAGGTGGTCAGTGGGACTGGATCCTGTCACCATGGTTAGGAACCTGGCATCTTAGGAACTATGTATGTCCTTCTTCTCTGACTCTAGGTTTCTTTGTTTCTGTTGTGATTTATGTTTGTGATAAACACTTCTTGGTGCCTAACAGAACCCCAGTTTTGTTTGGGGTGAAAATGCACTCAGCTGAAAGCTCCATTTCTCAGCCTCTCTTGAAGGGAGAGGTGATCACATGACATGACTCTGGCCCACAGGATGGGAGCTGAAGTCCTGGATGGGGCTTCCCAGTTTGCTCTGTATCAGGGCTCAGATACCGCTGGTCTGCATCTGCTGTCCTTCACCTTTTCTTTTCCTGAAACCCAGCACAGAGCTGAGGTAGAGCAGGTGTCTTGTGCCCCCACAGTCACAAGGAGGAGGGTGGTTAGCTGAGTGGAGGAAAGACAGAAGGAATCCAACTCCCAGAAGCCCTGGTCTGCCCCTCCTAGATTTTTGGTAACTGGTGGAAAAGTAATTTCTACTTGATGGAGCCACTGTCAGTGGGTTTTTCTGTTACTTCCAGGGGAATTCAATGCTAGCGGACATGAAGGTCATCTTTGGGACTCACACACAATTAAGGCTGTTGACCTCATGCAAAGTCAACATGAACTTGAGTTCCAGAATATGAGCATCCCTTGTCTTTGGGAGCTCTTGATCCCCCACCCTCTCCAACAATGGTAGAAACAAACTGTTCTGTTACTTTCAAGTCCTTGGAGGAGGAGAGAGGCATTGAGCTGGGCCTTTAAGAATAACTAATTCTGTCAGAATGTGGAATGTGAAAGTCAGGGTGGTTGCTGGAGGAGGCTGTGCAGGTTTGAGAGAGCCCACGGTGTGTTCCTGTTCTGTTACACATTCAGTGAGATGACCTGGTGGCTTAAAAAAATCGACTATGCTGAGAATGTTTACATCAAGGAAGCAGGCAAAAAAAAAAAAAAAAAAGGGGGGGGTGGGGGGGGAAGCAGGCAAATGTTTTGAATCAGGGCTTTCTTTCTTTTTCTCTCTCTCTCTTTTCCTGGACTGCCAGTTAAACATTTACCAACACACCCTTGGAAAGACCAAAGGTTTAGTTTATTAGTTACATAAATATTGTTACATAGCTTCTTGTTTTCCCCAGGCCATAAATCAGCAGAATCAGAGAGCAGCTGATTTATATGAAACATAGGCTGAAGTCTTAATGTGTCTTTGGGCCTAAGGAGAATCTTAAAAGTTTAGGCTGAAGGCAAAACTAATTTTAAGCTGACTCTGGCTGTACATTTACCATTTGATCATGCTCCTGTCTCGGCATTCACCTCTTCCCTTCCTAATCATCCTCTCGCCCTCATCCTGTCACAAACCTGGTTCCTTGCCCCATTTGTGTCACCTACAGACGCACCTGACTCAGGGACTGGCACGTGTGTGTGGACACCTGGACACCTGGACAGGTGTGCATGTGTGCATGTGTATGCTGCTGTATGGTCAGAAATCTGTCTTCACATTTCGGATCTATTTTCTTGCACACTGTTGCAGTCAAGTCTTTCCTGCTCCCTTACACTGAGCATAGTCTGGGAAGAATCTCTTTCTAAGAAAAGCCCAGCCATATTCACCCTCAGATCTAGCTCCTTGTTCATGTGGCCGGCAGGCTTAATGGGTTCTAGTCTGTTATGCTGCCTGGTCATTTAGATGAAGAGATGAGAAAGGGAAATTTTCCCTGTGCTTCCAAGTCTTGTGTCCTAGCATCACTTATCATGGAAGCCCTACATTTGGGGATGTTGATATATCCCATCTGTCACCCTAGGACATTCTCCATCCTTTCCTACCCTGCTCTGTGCATGAGTAAAGCTGTGAGGTTATATCATCTGCTGCTCCCTTACCCCTCTGTTTAGCTAATAGAAAATATTAACAAGAAATCAGAGGGAGGGAAGAGAGTGAAGCGAGGGTGTTTGTCCCTCCAGATCCTTCCTGTATGGTCCTGGGTGTGCTGGTGGCATCCCTTAACTGAATGTCATAGCTCCTGTTCTGTGATGCTCTCCAAACAGTTTCTCTCTCTGGGTTCTCTATAATGGTTCTCTCTTCTTATCCTTAAGGTGGGACTAGCCCTGAGATACTACTTACTTGATCCCTTGTGATTGCCCTATAACCTTGTCCACACTTTTGTCAATAATCTCTTTTTTATTAAAGTCTACTAAAATTAGGGGTGTCTGGGTGGCTTAGCCAGTTAAACATCTTATTCTTGGTCTCAGCTCAGGTCTTGATCTCAGAGTCATGAGTTCAAACCCCATATTGGGGTCTGTGCTGGGCATGAAGCTTACTTTAAAAAATAAAGTCTACTAAAATTATCTAATTTGCTATCTCTTACCTGTTGGAGACCTAACCAATAAAAGGCTTTGCTGAATTGTTAATATAGCTGATTTCTGTTTCCTATTTGGTTGTAGTTAGGTGATGCCTGGCAAATGTTTGGTAAATATCTGTTGACTTAATAAATGATTAAATGAGTGGCAGGATCAAACTCCACTTCTTTCTCTCCAGACTTATAGTACACAGTTGAAAGTTCACATGTAAAGTGTAGACACTTGATGCAGTCTGAGAGCACTAAAGTATGTTGGTTCTGTGGCTCAAGTTGCCAGGGACTTCCGCTTCCATGGGTTTGCCCTAGTGATTTATACCCACCCTGGTTTCCTCCTTCCCAGAGGAACAATATAAAATAATATAAAGAATATCTGAAATATACAATATGGTATGGATGTGATGTCCTTTAAATAAAGAGTAGGGTGATTTCTTCAACTCAAGTACAGAGAAAATGTTCAGGCCACAAGATAAGATATGAACACTGAAAAATTTCACTTGTATAGGTTTTGAAGGAACCACTCCGAATGAACCTATAGCTACAAATTATGAATTTATATAGTAGATATGACCTTTATTATAATTAATGTTTTAATTATCATAATATTATTACATATGAGGTAAACTTGATAGAACTACCTTTTAATTATACCTACAGTTATCAATTTCATGACTGCAGGTTGCAGTGGCTCATGACATTCATTATAATTACATTTCCACTGTGCAAGTGTTAGAGGAACTCCTTCAAGCCATTACATGTGATGTTTCCAACTCTCTGGGACCCTCACTTATGTCTCCAGGGAGATGCCTTCATGGATGGAGCTCAGATAAATGTCAGGAAGAACAGTCCCAAGCTCTCTTACCATGATCCACCTTAAGGAAGCGCTTAGTTGATTATAAACTTGTCCAAACTATAACTTCTTAAGAAGAAGAGTTCCAGAATCTTCCTCCCTGGATTTCCCAGCAGGAGAGCTGTCCAGACTGAGTTGTCATAGTACACTTCCTCTTGGCGCAGAGCTCCCCCTTTGATGATCTCCAGGGCACATTCTTCCTTTGGAGATGCCTCCATGTTGACTATTCCAGAAATGGCATTCATGGCTGTGTCTGAAGAATGACAATAGAAGAGTGGGGTTGTCCAAGACTAGTAGAGTCTACATGATGGAAATTCTGCAGATAGCCACAGCTTCGCTGTTAGGGACTGTTTGCCAGGGTTTGCTCTACAAGACCCTGTGGGCCCTATCAGAAGACTGGGTATATGTAGGGCCTGCTGGGCAAAGAGAGGCTTAGAGTTAATGTGGGCTCTGTCTTCCTAGATGAAGATTTGTGGGGAGTGCTGTTAGAGGTGATTAATTGAGAGATTTAAATCATGCCTCTCTCTTGGGTGTTTTGGTTGAGGTGAGGGAGTAATAAAGGGCAGTAGAATGAGGATAGAAGTTATATCAAGACCCAGTAGCTAATGGAAGGTGTCAGTGGGCAAAGCAGAGTGCTGTATGATAACGCTTTACTAACTTGTAAGAGGAAGAGATGGACAAGAATCCAGGCCTTTGCTTTCTGTCCACAGTAGCCACTTTTATTTGGAAGGAAAGTTACCTTATCTTCTCTAAATTTTTATACCCTTCCTGCACAGTTTCTTTCTCTCTTTCTATCTTTGTTTCCCTGTGTGTCTTAATCTCTCTTGTTCTACAACTACTCAATTTACTCAATTACTCTTTTTTTTTTTAAGTTTATTTATTTTGAGGGAGAAAGAGAGGGAGAGAGATTGTGAGCAGAGGAGGGGCAGAGAGAGAGGGAGGAGAGAATTCCAAGCAGGTTCTATGCTGTCCCTGTGGAGTCCCACATGGGGCTCAAACCCACGAACCATGAGATTATGACCCGAGCCGAAATCAAGATTCAGGTGCTTAACTGACTGAACTGCCCAAGTGCCCCTCAATTACTCTTTAAATAAGGTTTTTGTATTGAACCTATTTTAGATAAATTTACATTTGGATTACAGACAAATTGTAAAAATTGTGCAGAGTATTCCCTTATATCCTTCACTCTCCTTCTCCTAACTATAACATTACACATAACCTCTGTATAATTGTCAAGGTACAATATAATTGGGACAATTTTACTAACTAAAATATAGACCTTATTTTTTTCACTAATACCCTTTTTATGTTCCAGGATCTTAGCTAGGATTACACTTAGTAGTAATTTCTTCTTATTTTCTCTCCAAACTGACAGTTCTTCATTCTTTCTTTGTCCCTCATGGCCTTGATACTTTTGAAGAATATTGATCAATTGTTTTATAGAATGTCCCTCAATTTGGGTTTGTCTATTTTTATCTCTTTTTTTAAAGGAAAGATTTTAGGGGTGCCTGGGTGGCTCAGTTGGTTAAGTGGCCGACTTCGGCTCGGGTCATGATCTTGCGGTCCGTGAGTTCGAGCCCCGCGTTGGGCTCTGTGCTGACAGCTCAGAGCCTGGAGCCTGTTTCAGATTCTGTGTCTCCCTCTTTCTGACCCTCCCCCATTCATGCTCTGTCTCTCTCTGTCTCAAAAATAAATAAACGTTAAAAAAAATTAAAAAAAAAAAAAGATTTTATTTTTAAGTAATCTCTACACCCAACATGGGGCTCAAATTTACAACTCCCAGATTAAGAGTCACATGCTCTACTGACTGAGATGGCCAGTGACTCTGTCCATTTTTCTATGATGATTGGAGTCAGGTTATACATTTCTGACAAGTATATCACAAAAACGATGCTGTGTCTTTCCCAGTGCATCACATCAAAGGGTTCATGAGGGGCGCCTGTCTGGCTTAGTCAATAGAGCATGAGACTCTTGATCTCGAGGTTGTTAAGTTTGAGCCCCACACTGGATGTAGAGATTACTTATTAAAAAAAAAAAAGGTTGGTGGCTCAGTCAATTGAGTGTCTGAGTTCGGCTCAGTTCATGGTCTCACGGTTCATGAGTTTGAGCCCTGCATTGGACTTGCTGCTGTCAGCACAGATCCTGCTTCAGGTCATCTGTCTCCCTCTCTCTGCCCCTCCCCTGCTTGTACTCTCTCTCTAAAAATTAAATAAACATTAAAAAAATTAAGAAAAAAAGATTCATGATGTTGATATGTCTTATTACTAGTAATATTATTAAGAATAACAAATTTGTATTCAATAAGCCTCAAATGGGAAAGTAATGGCCGTTGAGTGTCCCTGAGGAAAAAAAGTGTTCAGAATAGGATCAGGTGATGAGTCTGTTGTCACTTGGCACACTTGGTGGTCAGAATGGAAAGAAGAGTCAAAGAATAGTCAGAGGCTCCACTAGTGACAGAAGTGCTTCATTGCATGGAGAACCACTGCTCTCACTGGTTTTTTGTGCATTACACAGGAGTCAAGGAGTTCAGCACCTTTTTTACCCACAATGGAAACGGCAGAAAATGATCTGCAAGCTGTGTAATCTACTCTCTTCAACTTACCTGTGTTTATGAGGCCGAGGATACAGAGAGTGATCGATACATTAATCTTGGCCACTGAATGTTCCATCCTGATGGAGGAGAAAAACCCATCCAGGGCAAACTTGCTTGCAGAATAGGGCGCAATAAGTGGACTAGCCATTTTCCCTAAATAATAAGGAAATGGGTTAAGAAGGTGACCCATTTTAGCTTCTTCTGAGATGATCTTTGTTGCATCTGTAGTAGGATTTGTAACCCCTGTGGAGTCCTTTTACCCTTTGAGGCATAGTTTCTCTCTACTCCCTATAGAGATTATCATGCTGTGTTGAATTTCTGAAAGAAAAAAAAAAGATCTTTAAGGTTTCAAAGAAACTCCCCTTGAAGAGTCTGGGTGGGGGATGGGATGGGCTGCAGGAAAGCCTTCACTGAGGAGAGATTGGTTCGATTTTAATAAGGATGGTAAATAAGTGGGACTACAAAACAGCCAGGTAATCCCACAGCTGCTACCTCTGACTCAAGAGAGCTGAGATCCAAGGGTTTAGCAAGAACTCTCTGCCAATACAACAACCAATCATTGATTTACTTTCTATACGAGGGAAATGAAAAACCCTGTCTTTCCTTTTCTTCTTAAAACTATTATTCTTACTTTCATCATCCTGGTTAATTCTCAGTCCGGTTGTTGGGAGGACATGTGGACATATGCCTCATAGGGTGATCTATTCATTATACCCTGTCCAGGAGGAGGGATTAGAAGTGGCCTGAGACCTTAGATTCTTTGCTGAACAAAGAGTTATAACAGCTACTTTGATATTCCTGTCTGCTAATTCTACAATAGGAATAATTTAAGGGTTGATCTCCACTGACTGCCTTTCCTCCTGAGTGTCAGTCATATTTTCTATTCTTGTATGTGGAGTAATTTTGCAATGTATTCTTGACATTGTGAATGATACGTTGTAGAATCTCTGGATTCTGTCATATTCCTCAAAAGAGTATTGAGTTTTGGTTTTGTTTTTTTTTAGGTGGGCATTTAACTTGCCTGAAATCTAGTGTCTCTTGCAGTAGATTCCAGCTAAAATCTCTGTTGAATTATTTAATCTTAATTGGGCTTCTTGGTAACTGCACTGCCCATGAGTAATTCAGGGGACAAACAGATTTTGAAAGAGTTTACATACAGAATGTGGCACTCTTCCACTGTGGCTCTTTCCTTTCCAGGATGCCCCCCTCCACTTTCTGCTACAGAAATCCTAAACTCTTCTTTCTAGTTCCTCAAGGTAGTAAGATGGCAGATGTCTATTCCAGATACAACATTGATTGTGGCCTGCCTTTAGGCATAAGCTATAATATTGGGAAACTCATGTAGTGTCAATTCCTCCTTTCAAGTGTCAACAACTCTCCAGTTTCTGTCAGCTTTTGTTTTTTCTCTCCAGTGCTTTCAGTGGTTGTTTTCTATATTTTGTCCAAAGTTTGATCTGGGGCAGGCCGATATATTAGGTACCTCTCTGCCATTACTGGAATTGGAACCTCTATAAGTTCTCAAATGAATTTGCTTGCCAAATAAATGAATAAAGAATGGTTCATTCAATAAAGATGCTGGGGAGGTTGGTTAACTCATTGGAAAAAATTGTTAGCTCCTTGTTTTATATCATATATCAAAAAAATTCTAATTGGAAAAGTATGGCAGACGTTGTCTACCCAATATCCATTCCCTCCCTTAATAATCAAGTTTGATTTTTTCAGGACAGCAATGTGTTCAGATAAAAATATTTACTTCCTCAAGATTCCCTTGCTCTTTTGTGTGTCCATGTGACCTAGTTCTGGCCAATGAGAAATCTAACAGATGGGGTCTCCAGGAAAGATTGATTTCCTGACAAAATCTGTGGATTCCGGTAGCATGCAGTTTTTACATTTTGCCCTTCTTCTTTCATTCTAAATGTACTTCAGATGTGATGCCTAGAAATGCAGTGGTTGTTTGTGAACTTGAGGAAAAGCTACATATTAAGGATTATAGAACAGAAACATGGAATGAGATTGGATTCTTGAAGATCTAATGAGTCCACCAAACCAACCCTGAAGTTATGACCTGAGAAAAAGGAACCCCTATTTAGTGTTAAGTGATTGTAAGTGGAGTTTTTGTTAAATGTGTAGCAGAATGCATCTTCTGACTGATAAAAAATAATTTAATCAGGAAAGAATAATATAGGTGAGCATTTATCAGATCCTTGGTTATGAAAGATCATTCTAACAGAAAAGTAAAAAAAAATATGTAAAGGTAAAGAATATTTAATAATATAAAATGTAAAATTTCTGTATGTGAAAGCAATAACTAATAATATAACTATAAAGGTTAAGGGTAAATGATAAACTAGAAAACAATTTAGAACATAGTAGACAGACAAAAGCTTAATATCTTCAATACAAATATCTTCAATTCTTATTTTTTAAGGTGCAATTTTATTTATTTATTTATTTATTTATTTATTTATTTATTTATCTATCTCATGACTTGATCATGACCTGAGCTGAAATCAAGAGTCAGAGGCTTAACTGACTGAGCCATCCAGGCATCCCAAACTTCAATTCGTAGTGTATTAACTCTTAAAAAAAATACAAACAAATATTTTTAGGGAACCACTCCAACTCTATTCTCAATCATGAGTTTTGGCTTGGAATGACTCTACAGCCAAGTTCCAGGAATGGGTGTGTGGCACAAGATGTCCATCCAGAGTATTTGATACCACTATGTTGTTGACTAGTCTAGGACTAGATCAATGACTCCATCAGGGCTGCAGGACACATTGTTGGTTGTGTAACCAGAATTTATTTAGTTCCCCCTTCTTCCTCCGTAACAGAACCCCAGTTGAGTTCATGTTTCCACCTGTTCTAGAGGCTACTGGCATTCTCTCTGTATCTTTTGCTCTTCTTCTTTAGTAGTGTAATCTGTGATGTGTATCTGGGCAAATAGTTATCTGGGATAAAGTCCACATTTCTCAGCTTTTTTCAGCCAGATGTTGCCAGATGACTAAGTGTTGTCCAGTGGGTTGTAAACAGAAATGTATCATGTGATTTCTGGGATATGTCCTTAAAGACAGAAATCAGTCTCTTCCTTCCATTCCTTCTTCCTTCTTGGTGCCTGAAGGTGGGTATGATGGCTGTGGCTCCAGAACTATCTAGAACCATGAAGTGGAAGCCACATGTTGAGAACAGCAGAGCATTGAGAGAAGAGGGAAACTGGGTGACCATGGAGCCTCCATCCTAGCCCTACCTCCAGATTAATGCCTACCTCCAGACTTGATTTACCTTTTAACTTATTTAATCTACTGCTATTTTAAGTTTTCTGAATTAGAGAGCTGAACCTAATCCTTACTGATAGTACTTCTTACTTTTATGATGCCCATGTTCCAAAAGAAAGTTGATACTGTTTCTGACTCTAGGGGTGGGCTTATATAATTGATTTAATCCAATCTTCTGGCCCATAATTGATACAGAAATGGGCATTTGGCCAATTCTGGCCAATGTGACTTGAGGAGAATTTTGTTGGAGGGTCTGAGAAAATCCTTTCTTATTCTGGGAGAGTTTCTTAAAGTAGCATTTTGTTTCTCTTCTACTGGACATTTTTGTGCTTGGATATGGGGGCTAGAATTGCTACAGCTATCTTACTATCAGCCTAGGGATGAAGTCACACATGGAAGGAAGCAGAGCCAAGAGAATCATGGGGACATTGAACTTGAGCCAAGTCAACTGTGAAGCCCATCCTAAATCTGGACTTCCAGTTATGTCAAAAATGTTTCCTATTATTTAAGCTAAAAATAGACCCAAATTATTTCTATGAGTAGCATAGTGGTTGAAAGTATGAGTTTGACAGTCAAATGACCTGGGTGTGAATCCCAAGTATGCCATTTCTTAGCTGTCATATGTGGATAATAATACTGCTAAGCTGAAATAATCCATGTAATATGCCTAGCACAAACTCTGGCACATAGAAAGCATTTAGTAAATGCTATTGTTATTAGTATTCATGTTTCAAATTAGTGAGAAAAGTAGGAGCTACTCAGAAGACTATGTTGGGACAAGTAGCTAGCTACTTGGTGAAAAGAAAAGTGCCCTTGGGAGAAAATAATTTAAATTATATTAGAGAGTATACATGGAACGTAAAATAAAAAAATATGGGTCAATGTATGATCTCAAGGTAAAAGCTACTATTTTTTGTTTGTTTTGTTTGTTTGTTTGTTTGTTTGTTTAGAAGGGGATGGGGCAGAGGGAGAGAGACAGAAAATCTTAAGCAGGCTCCACAACCAGTGCAGAGCCTAATTCAGGGCTTGATCCCATGACCCTGAGTTCATGACCTGAGCTGAAATCAAGAGTCAGCCACTCAACTGACTGAGCCACCCAGGTGCCCCAAGAGCTACTTTTTAAAGCATGAAATCAAAGGCATACATTATGAAGGAATATATAAATAGGTTCGAATATATACAATTTAAAAGGCTTCAGTATTCTAGAAATGCTCACCATTGCCTTCCTAGACACATCACCTTCAAAAAGATTTTGCCTTTCCAGGGGCACCTGTGTGGTTCAGTAGGTTAAGCATCAGACTCTTGATTTTGGCTCAGGTCATGATCTCATGGTTCATGAGTTTGAGCCCCGCATCGGGCTCTGTACTGACAGTGAGGAGCCTGCTTGGGATTCCCTGTCTCCCTCTCTCTCTGCTCCTCCCCTGCTCCCTCCTTCTCTCTCTCTCTCTCTCTCTCTCTCACACACACACACACACACACACACAAATAAATAAACATTTACATATTTAAAAAAAGGAAACAACATTCCTAAATTTATAAAAAAAAAAAAAAAAAAGATTTTTGCCTTCCCAGCCATGGGAGGTCAGGCCAGTAATAGTTAATGTACACAATCACTTGAACATACATTGTAGTCTCTCTCTCAAGAAATTGAAATAAGTGGTGCAAGGGTTTTAATTAGCTGCTGTTGGATTTTGAACTAAAAAGTCATGTAAGTTTGGGACTGGGGTAGCCATCTCTAGCCATTGAAAAAAATAAACAAACAGACGAGCAGACAAACAAAATAAACACAAAAGTTGGAGTTAAATAGGAGCTAATATTTATGTAGCTCTTATGTGCTGGTCTCAAGGCTAAATAATTGCCTAAAGCTGCATGGTTAAT